TTAATCATATTATCATGCTTTAATTTTGCTTGAGATGTTGTTGTAAAAAATAAATTTAATTGAGAGTACATTCGCAATTTAACAGTCATCATGAATTTCACTGTTTTGTTTGTTCGATGATGTATTAATACCCCTGTAACGGCACGTGGATCTGTTAATCATGCCCTTCGGGTGTTTAAACCAACACAGGTGTTAACACCTTTGTGTACACAGTGTATATCCATTTATCTGTCAGACGATGAAAATTATATTAGAAGCCAATCTTTGTATAATTCAGTGTACCCCTTGGGATATAAAACAAAATAGTTATGACTAGCGGTGTATTTAGTAAATAATTTTAGGAATTTACTGGCAACAATTTATTTCACGCATTTTACATTTACTCGTAAATAAATATCACAAGACAATGAAAAAATATTTAGGTATACTATTTCAATTATTCGTTACAAATAAATGGTAAAAAAAAAAAAAAGATTACAATTGCGATTGTGAAAAACTCTTCCGTATTTTAAACTTTGATACGGTTGCGGTTTTATTTTTAGTAAACGATTGCGACTTCCAACTTCACAAGATGGACACAACATTTTGTAAATCTACTTTGAGACATTATTTACTAGATGATATTATAAGTTTTTTGTACATCGACGGATATTTAATGGAACTTATTTTGTAAGAAATCAATGAAATAAATAATTAATTAATTCTTTGTTTATTTTATTTTTTGGGAAAATAATTTTAAAAAATACGAAAATGGCACAGATTTCCTTTAAAATTGACGTTAATTTTACTGATTTGGGGGCATTTTTCGTAAACTTGAGCCTTAGATAGGACGATTCGTTAAATAGGACGACCCCAGTGGTTCTGAGAAAAAAAGTATCGTCTTATCTTCCAAAACTTACGGTAATCCATAGCATAGCTAGAAGGCATTAATCAGCGTTATGTATTCACTTCACGAACAACAGGGTAGATTTATATATACATCAGCAAGTTCGATAGTTATTTGAATGATTTTATAAAACCAAAATGTCGACAAAAACATGATAATGCAGGTAAGAAATACACGTCGTAACATAGTTACGTACGGGTATTCAAAACCCATGACCCTAGTGTTTTGATTGATGAAACATGTAGCGTTGGCTATTAAAACAGTTTTTTTTTTTTTTTACAAATACAGGTTATTATCTGCTGGGTGATCTAAATTAATGTCAAGCGTGATAATTAAAATAATTGAATGACAAGTACGATTCGTAATTACTGAAATGACCATGTACTGCACGTATATTTACCTATCGTAGTCTATTCTCAAATTTCCAAATATAACATGTAGGTTATTGAAAACTTATTCACTGTTTCTTGAATTCACGGATTTATTCACACCATGAATATAGCGAATATTAACACCGCGAGTTATTTTCCCCCTATACAGTATACAGACTTAATATAGAAATGATTTTATCGACTTTCTCAATCTATGATGAATTTAAAAATGTAAATATAAGCATTTAATTGTAAATATTTAACATTTAGCATCTCATAACCAGAGTTGGAAATTACTGACTGCCCGAGGCAGTCTGTTTTTCAGGTAGGCAGGGACAAACTTTAGATTAACCTCGGTGGTCGGGGTCATTTAAACAGGTAGTTCCTGTTTTCCTTTTTTTTTTTCAGGGTATAGTAAGTCTATAGAAATTAAGTAAAATATAGTATATCAAAGGAACACTTCTAGTTAAAAATATAAGATGACCTATAGGACCAATATTGGTTCAGTCTTTAGAAAAAGCTTACCGATATATGTTCCGGTCACTGACTTTAGGTCACGTGTGTAGTTTCTTGTTTCTCATGTATTGCTTTAGTTCTACATTAATGGTAATCTAACAACCAAGCTTTATGATAAACGTGATGACTTTAACTTTTCAATCATCAACTTCCCTTACTTATTCAGCAATATACCTTCATCACCTGCATACGGGGTTTATATCTCTCAGTTGATTCGATACGCAAGAACATCCTCTATGTATGAACAATTTTTAAAAGGAGGTAAGTTATTGACAAACAAATTGCTGAAACAAGAATATCAGCAGTCTTGTTTAAAGTCATCATTTTGTAAGTTCTATGGTCGATACAATGACCTTGTCAGCAAATACAATTTATCATTAAGTAAAATGCTGACTGACGTTTTTCATACTTATTGTTAGGCCATTATTTACACACTGAATTGTGTATGGAATTTTCTATTGTTTCCCAGTCGTGACATAAGGAGCACACAGCGGGTGTGACTAGTCTGCAGGGGATGCTCACTCCTCCATGGCACCTGATCCCACCTCTGATGTTTTGGAGGTCCGTATTTGCTCTGCTCCTATTTTGTATTTTTTGATGGGCTTTTGAGCTTGAATACTGATTGTTATCTCGATATATTTCATTCTACTCAACTGTGTGTTCATGTGATCCTACCTCAGTATTTACAGAATGATACATCCTTTATTTGAGGGTCATTCTTGATGTCTGACTGAGTAATGGCAATGGATCATAAAACCTTAACTGACCTTACCACATTCTTTTCTAATCTGAAAACCCTCATGCATTTTTAGCATAACATATCGCCAATGCACACATTTTTCCCGAGGAATGAACTGCATCTACTCTGCATAGAACAGTATCTCTCCCACTGGCACAACAGTACTATTACATGTCATTATGTTCTTGAAAGGCAAACACAGCAATTATTGCTCGGCATGATTTTTTTTCATGACACCTGCAGTATCGAGTAACACAAAGTGAATGATTCATGTCCTCGAACAAAGTGTGCTTACAATGAGGTTTAGTTCCGGTTGATTGCGTTTAGTTAAAGAGAATTTATGATCTGCATTTCCATAGATGTCTTTTATATCAACACCAAACATGCATTTAAGGAAGAAAATATATTAAGTAAAATGCAAAAGCCTGTATTAAAAAATCAAGGACAAGTGCACTTAAGCAATGCTTAATGGGTCCTTTTTCAGTGCCATATTACTTTAGAATGTATTACCAAATTGTTCTCTTTTGGTAATAGTAAACACAAGTGGACATTTCTAATTAAAATCACATTAAAACATCACCTAAATCAGCATGGATTTGAAACAAATGAAATTTTTTAAATGTTTATAGATACCCCAATTCCGGAAAAGTCGTACCGAACCTATTTTGAGTTTCGTTTATTTAAATCAAGGGGAGGAGACATTTAAATCAGACACTTGAACAATCTGATGGTGGATCATTGACAGGCGCGTATGCCGAATGATACTTCTTGTGCTATTTTACCCGAGAAAAAAATCGAATGAAGTTGTATAGATACCTGTATCCATAGTGATCAAACTAAGAAATTTGCATGCTTGCATTTGAAATAATACAATAAGTATTAACATTAGTTCCTTTAAATTTTAAAATGAAAAAAAGTGTATTTAGGTGGCTTTCAATACCAGTACCATTGTCTTGCATGAATGTTAAAATGGTTGACACTTTTATTTATGATGACATTTTAACGACACTAAACTCTCCTAACCATCCCGTGTTCCTAAAACCAAAAACATACAAACTTCTCTATGCGGCTTGACTTCAATATAATGATACAAAACGTGGTTATGTTTTACAGTGAGCATCTTTGAGGAATGTTTACCGGGGTAGAACTCACGTGACTACCAGTATTTTAAATAATTTATTCCACGGGTGAGTTCAACATAGGTCATACAGGTAAATAGCTCTTGCTTGTTATAGGAAAAACATTGAACTTTTCATACATTTTTAATATTTTAAGTACAAGCCTAATCATGTACAAATTTCCTACTTTCATACAAGTTTTATAAATGTATAATGCATTTTTTGTCAATCGCACAAGTTTGTACAGTGTTAGGCTGACAATAAACAAAAGCTTTGAAATGAATGACCGTCCTCGATTTACTATAGAAAATCACGAATGTCGGCTGACCCCTACCACATTGTATGGCTTTGCTCTTTGTATATTCAAAATTTGTTGAATCTTATGGACAGCATATGTATTATATTCTGACCAATGGGGTTGCCGTATTTTCAAATAATTAGGATAGACTTACCACTTCAGCATTCCTTTCATCACTGAAGTGATATACATGGTCAAAAATTCACTAACTTTCATTTTTGTGTCAACTGCAGAGCAGAACGACACTTAGAGATCACTTTACCTGGTGTCTGTCTGTCCGTCTGTCACACCTTATATCTCCAAAATTTTGAGAGGCAGGGTTTTGATAATTAGCATTTATATATGTTTTTGAGCTCATGATACTATACTTTGAAACTGTATGAAATTCAGTTACCACACAAACTTATATTTAAATACTATGAAAATACATTGGGATCAGTATTCCACAATGAATCGTGTTGACTGACAAAGTGACAATTAAAGTAAAGACAGTCTGAAATTCCTTTCCTCCGAGGATTGTTGGAAGCACCTTCATGTGTATTAATAAAATGATAAATAGTTATTCCTCATAATTTTAATTAAATTATTCATTTGAGGACTGGGGAACCATATTTTCTCTGATTGCCAGATTCTATCCCAGTCTTTTAAATACTTTTGGGTCCTTTTTTTCCTTGCAGGCAAATGCTTGAACCTCCATGCTAATATTAAATTAATAGCTGACCACTCTTAGATTTATTTACCTCTTTAATGACGATACCTAGCAGGTGACATATACATTCCTTGAAACACTCTAGTTCCTATTTGATTTTCACTAATATAAAGATTATTGAAAAAAGACTAAGGTGCTCTATAGTGATCAGTCTATTCATTCATCTGTCTGTCAAATACACATATTCCTTATGCTTGTTCAGAATGCAGGTGACTCTAAATACTTCAAACTTTATATTTTTTAATTAGATACATGTAGCTGCTTTGGAACATCTGAAAGGTCTATTACATTATCACTAGTTTTACTAGTTTTCTTCATGTAAGTTGAATATATTTTAAACTTTTAAATTTTTATTTTTTCCAGGTAAGAAAGAAATTCAGGAGTTCTTAAATTGCCCTTGGAGTTCTTGGATTGCATCAAACTGCTAAAAGACCTCAACAAAAACAGCGTCTTGAAAATAAAAATGAAAATATTCAGTGAAAAAAAAAAATGATGAAAGAGCCACTAAAAATCTTCAAGCCTTTGAGCTGAAATCTGGAAGTCAATCTGTGGACTTTACTAGTAAGTCATAATTACTAAGTCATCATTTGTGTATAATAAATACACTAAACTGTAAACACTTGTTAAAATGTGTATAATTTTTAGATATAATTTGTATCTCATAGACTTCAATAGTTTCATGTAATTTAAGTAATAATGAAAATTTCCTGTTGTCTAGCTAGATTAGAAACTATTATTGTCCAATTTTGGATATTGTGAAATAATTCATCTAGTATGCATACATGTGTGTACACTTACGTGTAAATTAATTGTTATAGCAAATTCAATCGATCATTAAGTTGAATGTTGACTAATGTTTTTCATCAAAATTGTTTACACTGAATTGTTTGTGGATTTTTCCATTTGCCCAATCATGTCAAGGAGCACATGGCAGAAAATGCTTTCTCCTCCATTGCACCTGGTGTTTTTAGAGTCTGTTTGCTCTGCTCTAATTATGTATTGTTTCAATGGACTTTAAAGCTTGATCACTGTTGGTAATCTTCATATTTCATATACTATTAGAGTACTTGAAGAAAACGGTAAAGATTTAACATACAGTATAATGCATGTATATTGCACTTTAAGTACAGTGTATGTGGTTAAGAAATGTTAAATCGTCTCATAGTGCATTGAATTTGTTGAAAATTAGAAAATGTGTTGAAATTTTTTTTGAAATAATGTTAGATTGCAGATTTTTTTAAATCATGCAAGTAAGAAATTGCTAAATATTTTTTAGATTTTCTGGACAGTCTAGATGAGTTCTCACTATATACCTAGCATTGTCATCCCAGTTAAAATTTAAGGAGCAAGGTTCATTCCTAAGCTCTACCTGGACAAACTTGCATGGATTAAAGCACATTAACAGATTTACTTCAGATGCTTGACCTGATCTACATTTTCCTCATGTGTTTTTTTTTTTTTTGTTTTTGTTTGTTTGTTGTTTAACATCCCTCTCAAGAATTTTTCATCCATATGGAGATGCCACTACTTGCTGGTGGAGAGCTGCAAAATTTGACCTATACTTTGCACTCAGGGCCTTGAGCAGTAAGGGATCTTTTTTGTGCCCACATCAACTGCTAGGCGGGACCTCGGTTTATATGGTCTAATCTGAAGGACTGGTCCCCACATCCCCAGTGGATTTGAACCTGAGACTTAAGGATTAAATCCTTACTCACGACTCTAGATTACAAACTCTATCCTTTGCGCCACATGGGGGACTCCACAAGATTAAGTGTTTTGAGCAGTCCTATTCTCATGTAATTATAAACTCTATGTTGAACAAACCTGCAAAGATGATGTATGTACATGTAAATGTTTCAGGGTACCAATCCTTGATTTGACTTAGATATTCTGGATTAATGACCAGTTTTTTAGAGAAGGTTCATTCAAAGTAACAATATACTTTTTGGTGATCAGTAAACATAGATGATGTATCCTGCTTCTGATGCTGGATGTAACATACATTTTCAGGGTTATTGAGCAGTTAAATCTAACCCAGACCAACTTGCATAGATTTTGGATCCAGGTGATATACATTACCAGAGTGTTTGTTAAGTGAGACTTTGCCTTACTAGTAGATAACATTTATAGAAGTGAGCTTTGTATTCTTTGATTAGGTATGTTTTTTCTTTGCTCAGGATATATACAGACCTGCCTACCCTTCCGCTTTTGGCGTAATTTTTCCGCTTTTTACCACAAAATTACGCTGTTACGCCATGAAAACTAATTTTACGCTTTTTAAATATTTTTTCATAAACAACTTAATGAAAGGCTAACTTTGGAGTTAAAGTAAAGGCTTTCCTTAATGAAAACGAGAAGGTAATTAATACTAATTAATGGAGGGTTTCGGTTCTTCACGATATGATTATTTATGATACAAACAACATACGTAATACACGTTGTAGTTATGCCTTTTAAACAGGTTGCATGCCAAAATTAAGGAAACAAAACTTTTGAATGATGTGTGCAATAAGTAAAGTCAGTTTAATTTTCAATTCGGTTTATTCTTACATTGCTAAGAACAACATAGAGACAAGTAAATGTAAGAAAAACAAAATCGAAATAGCGGAATAATGTAGAATTTGTATGAATATGCGATTGAAACTCTGAATTATGTGATTTGCTAATTTTTTTTCCAAACGTTCATTAGGAATGTTAGATAAATAAGTTTGATTTGACTGCAATTACGATACCAGTTTTTACAACAAAGGGACTTTTTGTCTATAAATGATTTGAAAAAGAAACATTCATGCTTGCTTTGTTCAATGATGTACAATTTCAGGTTGATTCAGACAATGTAGTAGCTTTGCAAAACATCAAAGTAGGGAAACATAAAGGATTACGCCTTTACCTCATAAATTCCACTTAATTGAGTCTTGAAATTACACCCTCGCAATGAAAAGGGTAGACAGGTCTGTATATATACCATCAGTGCCAACTACCATACATTTTATATAATAGATGTAGCTGTTGTTCAACTGAATATGATAAAACTGTGGATGAAAATAATTTGATTTTTGTACCTTTGAATGTATTGAATTAATTTGTAAAAGCTGTTATGATACAATGTTTGATATTTTATAAAAGGTTTTAGCATATGCAATCAATAAATGTATCAACATTTTTATTTTATTATACTTTTTACCCTGCAAACTTTTTAAAAACAGAATAGTAATGATCCATTTAATTGATACTAGGTTAGTGTCACATTGTACTGGTATATCATGTATACTGAACTGTAAATAAGAAACATCTAAATAGGTAAAATCACAGCATGAATCATTGGATTATGTAAGAAGTGCAATATCTTGTGCTTTGGTATGGTATTAATAATAAATGTTAAACTATCATTTTTTTTTCAAATTAACAAAGGATATGCTTGAGTGACTGTATTTTGACTAGCAGTAAAAATAAAATGATTTTTAAGTATTTGAATTATTTTGATTCATGGTCTCTGCAAGTTTAATGATAGCAAATATGTACCGGGTATATTGAACATGGCATCCACATATTGCTATACTGGATGGGGCATAACTTTTACTGAATCTTAATCACAACCTTGAAATTTTATGTAGTACATGTACTCTTGGTTTCAACTGGTCAAATGTATTCTTAAATCAGAAAGAATTTAAACAAATATAGGCATAGGTCAGAACTTCATCAATTAGTTGGAAAGTGAATGCGCTCGGTGACTATATGGTTTAAAAGAAGCTGGGTATAAATAGCAGGAAAAACTACTTGATGTCCACTGTGAACTTTGTGTCCTCAACAAAACAATATGGAGTATACTATACTTGGTCTAAAGAATAATCTGTGTCTGCATTCACTTTTAGGTTAAACTGTTTTGGGCATTGAGAGTTTGTTTGTTGTTTAACGTCCCTCTGGAGAATTTTTCACTCATATGGAGATGCCAACACTTGCCGATGGAGAGCTGCAAATGACCTATGCTCGGCACTCAGGGCCAATGGGCAGTGAGGGATTTTTTTCATGCCAGCATCTACTGCGACACTGGACCTCTGTTTGTACGAAGGACTGGTCTCTACGTCCCACAGTGGGATTCAAACATGTGACAAAAGGATCAACTTACTCCACGACTCTAGAGCATAGGCTCTTTCCACTGCACCATGTGGGCGACAGCATTGAGAGTTAAATGTGGATATCAGAACAAGCTACTCTGGGCTTATACTCTCTATATATTGATTGATTGTATGTTGTTTAACATTCCTCTCAAGATTTTTTCACTCATATGGAGACACCACCACATGCCAGTGGAGATCTGCAAATTTTGTCCTATACTCGGAACTTACGGCCATTGAGCATCGAGGGATTTTTTTCGTGCCAGCACCTACTGCGACACAGGACCTCGATTTATACGGTCTCATCTGAAGGACCGGTCTCCCCATCCCACAGTGGGATTTGAACCTGCGACGTAAGGATCAACTGCTTACTTCGCTACTCTAGAGCAGACGCTCTAACCACTGCGCCACTGGGTCAACTACTCTCTATTTAAGTCACTTGTGCAATGATTTTAGTTTAATTCAAAGTTTTGTACTGATCATGTTGAGTCACATTAGCACAAATATCTTTCTGCTGACCTTGACTAATGACCATCCGCAACTATTCTGGTTGGAAACAATATGTTAATTAATGCATAATAAGTGAAATTACTATGAAAGAAAAATGGTCTACTTAAACCACAAGTTATATTTATAAAAAATATACACTGGTCTCCTCTAGTCATATGAGAGAAACATAAAATATTAAGGAGACCATTTTTTTCATATATTTTTAGGAGGCATTTATTATGAAAAAATAAAGCAAGAGTCGACTAAATGGTGTTCTATAGATCTTTGATCTGGTATTTCTTTTTAGAAAAAAGCAAATTTAAAAAAACTGTATATTGTCCCCTTAAGCCATATATAATGGTCTGGTCTCCCTAGTCCTTAAATCAGAGTTATATATATATATATATATATATATATAGGTATATGAGGTTGTTTGTGGGCACCGACCTTCTAAACAGGTTTGTGGGATCTCGCATTTCTACATTGAATAGCTATGTCATATTCATGATTTAAGCGTTATATATGGTCCATATATAATATATAATATAATTTTTGAGATAAGATTAAAAATGTTGTATATCATTGTGGGTCATTATTTTCATATATATAGAGCATTGTGGGATAAAGTATATACATCGCACAATGCTCTATTTATGAATATTATGACCCACAATATTATCACATGCTATATATATCATGTCCTGGATTTCACAATGTAAGACATAAGAATTAATATTTGATATAAATAATATATATATATGTATATTTACATATGTACAAAAAAGAATGAATCATTAAGAACAGTTTTGGGGGATTCAATATAAGATTTTAACTTTTACTTTTTTATTTTGGGGTCATATTGCATATTAATGACTCACTGCGATATACGATTTATCAGATTCTTAACAAGATGTTTTAGGGATATCCTCTCTCTCTCTATATATATATCCCACAATATATATATATATATCCCACAATCTCTTACATACACATATATATAGTGACAAAGTTGATTAATCAAATAATGTCCATCCCACAATGTATTATTTATAATTTATTTATTCATTAAGCAATGTTAGATATTGAACGGCATATTTTATCTATACACCTACTTATCCCAGATTTTCTTATATACATATATATAGTGAACAACATTTAAGCATTGAATTCTTATTTTTGAAAGTAATTATACAGGTATAATCACTGCATTGATTCCATAATGTCCAATCCGTAACGCATTTTTATTGATTCAACATATAGGATAGCAGACTAATATTATGAGATTTTATGCAATCGCCTGTCCCACAATTCGTTATATACATGTATATATATAGTGACCCACAAACAGCTATGATCACTATACGTTTATAACATAATGACCTTCCATTCGTGAATTATTTATTTAAAAAATAAAGAGCTTATCAACCTTATATTATGAGATTTTAAAGACAATATCTTACGTACCATA